AGAGTTGAGAGGGGAGCTGAAGGCACGGTCAAAGAGAAAGGTCTTGAGACCCGCCTTGAAGGAGGAAAGGGAGGAGGCGGCGAAGCCACTGGGGGATAGAGTTCCAGAGCCTAGGGGCTGAAGGCCCGGCCACCGATGGTAGGGCGGTTGGGGTGGGGATGTGGAGCAGACCGGAGCCAGAGGAACGGAGGGTACGGGCAGGTAAGTAGGGGGATAGTAGGTCAGAGAGGTAGGAGGGAGCAAGGCCTTGAATGGCCTTGTAGGCGAGGATGAGGATCTTGAATTCGATCCTCTGGGCTACTTCATAAAGAGCTAAGAAATACATTGATAAGAATTGTTGTGAATTTTATCTTGTTTACATTATATACATTATTACACGGTATTTTTATTTAAATAGTATGAAGGTATATAAAAGAGAAGAACATTTCCCCCAAATACCATTCTCCTTTATATTGTTACAGGGCATATATTTAATGAAGATCAATAAAAGCTCAGTTTTTCCTAGAATGCAGTTAACTTATCAAGTTCTTCCTTGCAATTGAGAAGTAGAAACAACAGGTCTTAAGATGCTGTACAACTGGATTTTTGTTAGCACCTGCTGTTTATAAGCACCAGCCGATGCTTATTTTCTCTATATTGCCATACAACCGCTAAGGCTTGCATTTGAGCATTCAGTTGAGCATTCAAAGTAAGGTTTTATTTATGTTTTGCAGTTTATTAAAATTTGTAGGTGTGAATATAGCAAAATTAATACAATATTTCCTGGAATAACATGTTGGTGTTTTGTTAGCCGAGCAAAGGTATTTTGGCATCAATGTTGACTGAGTCATTCTTTCTGGTTTGATAAAGATTGGCTATTTCCTTGAAGCTGAATGTGGACAAGACGGAAGCCATATTCCTTGGCTCCCGTCAACGTATTCACTCCTGCAGATCTGAACTCCTCAACCTCTCTGGGTTCTAACTCAGACTCACCGAACGAACCAGTGCGCAATCTAGGCGTCCGGTTTGACTCCCCGCTGTCCTTCATTCCCCACATCCGGTCCCTGAGCAGGACCGCTTTCCTCCACCTCCACCACATTGCCTGCCTCCAACCATATCTTACCCCAAATGTAGCCGAAACTCTGGTGTGTGTCACCTCCCGCCTGGATTACTCAAATACACTTCTCGCCGGGCTCTCCAGCTCCACTATTCAAAAAATCCATCTTATTCAGAACTCTGCTGCCTGCATACTGACCTGGACTAAACTCTGTACCCCCATCTCACCAGTTCTGGCCCAGGCTCCACTGGCTCCCCATCACCGAACAGATCGACTTCAAGATCCTCATACTCATGTTCAAATCCATTCACTCCCTGGCATCTCTCCGATCTCCTCACTCCCCAATCCACCATCCGGCGCCTCCGCTCAACTGGCACTGGCCTCCTTCTTGTCATTCGCACCCTCCGCCCCACCATTGGAGGTTACGCTTTCAGCCACTATGCCCCGAAACTCTGGAACACTCTCCCTCAATCTCCGCCTTGTCCCCCCCTCTCCCCTCTTTCAAGTCCTGCCTGAAAGCCTTACTTTTTGACGGTGCTTACGGTCACCTCCCCTCAACCCTCATCCGGCTCAGAGTCAGGCTCCTCAGGCTCCTTGTTGTTGTTGAAGAGAAGGATTGGTTTTCTCCTTGCCAGCCTGGCTCAGTTGGCAGTGCTCTCATCTCTGCGTTAGAAGGTTAAGTTTCAAGCCTCACCTTTGGATATTCATCCCAAAGGTTTGGCTGACATTCCAGTGCAGTGTTGGGGGAACACTGCATTATCAGAGATATATTCAATAATATGTTAAGCAGAAAGTGAATATCCCCAACCTCAGATTGCTGACCTTACCTTTATCATTAGGTTAGAGCACAGACCTTATCTGAGTAGGGAATGGTAAATGACCTAGAGGAGGAGACCGAAAAGAAGAGAAAAAGAAAGTAATCCAATTTGAAAAATAAAAATGTCCGAAAAGTACATTTAGCGTTCACCTGGTGGGTGTGGACTGGTGAAAAGTATATCAGTTTATTTATCACCTTTCACTTCTTTGGGGCTTCCTGTGACCATAAACTGAAATGCTAATCAGTGACAGATGAAAGACTTTTCCTATCAACTTAATTTGGAAGCTATAAACAAAATTAGTTATTCCACGTTTTGATTGTGAGTATCAATAAAGCAGAGTTTGACAGGTTTATAACAGGAAGCTTTACATTTCACAACAGATGCCTTTGCCTCAAAATCTTTCATAGTTTGACAGAAATGAGCACAAAAGGTACAGAAATAGAAAAAGTTCATTTGGACCATCAATTCCATTCTGTGTAATGACTCACATGTTAATACTGCCCTTGATCTACCTAATTGATTGTCTCCCAGTGGAATCAATGTGGAACCAGGTAAGACAGCCAAGAAAAGAAAATTTGATTTTCTCTGATGTTCCCTCCCAAAGACATTGCTGTTGATTTTTTTTCCCCATCCTTAACCATCATTCCACTCTGAATCTCACCTGTATTATTTTTTAAAAAGAGATCTGTATTCTAGATGAACATGTGTAAAGGTTTGAGCACCCTTGGAGTCTATTTTAGTATTTCATTTTGTCATGGTCAAAACTCTCTTATGCATACTATTAACCCTTGTATTTTTTTCAAATCTAATTCCAATTCTGCCCGAATAAATCTGTATTGTCTTAGTTTATTTACTTGAAAAAGAAAAAACTTCTTTATTGATGGATTTTTCAAAATGTTGCAAATCATGCAAATCAACAAGTGTATTAGGATGTATTAGGATGTGATAGGAATAAAATGTGCTTTGAACTAAAGATTAGTAGTTTTAGCGTTCAGTCGCTGTGATTCTACAAAGTTGCTTTGAGGGACAATGACATTTCCTATACACTTTTTTATCTAATTATAGAGAGTTACATATAGTGGATATGGCATGGAAATAGGCCATTCATCCCAACCAGTGTTTATACTCCACACAAGCCCCCACCTCTCCTATTTTACTCTTCTGTAACGGGGGTCCCTAAATTAGAATAAATAACTTGGTGAATGACATACAGTTAGTATAATGTAAGGCAAATTTCCTATGTCATTTACCTTTTGTAGGTGATACACAACAGATTTCCTGTGAATATTTTCTTGAAGTGGCATGCTAACGACAGTACAAGAGAGTGATATGGGGTAGCAATCCTGGGGTGCAAGCAAATGTATAACAAGGGGACATTGTTTATAGCCTCCAAATTAAGAGTCAACCTCAACAAAAACCATGCATCCAATTGAATTAATTTACACAGAGTGGTCAATATGTGGGATAGGAAGGTGATGGAGACGTATTATGTCACAAATTCAAGAGGGAATTAAATAGTTCTTTGGCAATTAAATCGTTTGTGGGGTATGAGAAATAGAATAATGTAGAATTATTCATTATTTCTTCACTTTGAGGCAGGCTGCATATCCCACATTGGCCTAGTCTGTATGCTCATGTGTTCAAATGTGAGGTCGTAAGACACTTGGGAAATAAGTTGCTGATGAATTATTTTAATATTCCTGTTGTACTTGATAACTTTATAGAATCAGAGAAATTTACAGGGCAGAAGAAGGCTATTTGGCCCATTGAGTCTGCACTGGCTGTCAGAGCAAGGTGTTCATTCAATTCCACTGACCCGTCTTATCCCCAAACCTCTTCAAGCTTCTGTTTTGCCTCTTTGAACCCACAATGGACTCTGCTTCCACCATCTCACAGGGCTTTCTACACCCCAAAAAACTCTCTGAGTCTTAAAAAAAATCTCCTAAAATCTCCTTTTTGCTCTTCTTGTGACAATCTTATAACTATGTTCCCCTAGTCACTGACCTCCCAGCAGTGGACTTCATTTCATCCTTTTTGAGGGGAAATTGCACTGAGCATTACACACATCGTCTTAGTTGGTATCAGCCACTAATGGGCTGTCCCATTACAATGGCTCATCAGCCAATGTGTTGTCCATAACGCTCACAGAATTTTTGACGAGAGATAACTTTCTCCAGCTCAACGTGTGCAAAACTGAGGCCCTCCTGATTGGCTCGCATCAGCGCCTCTGCACCTCAGGCGCTGACAGCATCAGCATCCAAGGCTGCACTCTCCACCTCTCAAAGCCGTCAGGAACCTCGGGGTTCTGTTCAACCCTGAGCTGTCCTTTCTCCCTCATATCCGCGCCACAACTGGCACTACCTTCCACCTCCGGAACATCGCCAGACTACGGCACTACCTCACCCCTCACGCTGCTGAAACTCTGGTCCACGCCTTTATCACCTCAAGGCTGGACTATGGGAACTCTCTCCTCGCCGGCCTTCCCGGCACCTCCCTCCACAAGCTGCAGGTCATTCAGAACTCTGCAGCTTGTGTACTGTCCCGCACCAGGCTTCACAACACATCACTCCCACCCTCGCTCGCCTCCACTGGCTCCCCATCCCCCAGAGGATCGAATTCAAGATCCTCACCCTCACCTACAAGGCCATTCACGGCCTCGCTCCCTCCGACCTACTATCCCCCTACCTACCCGCCCGTACCCTCCGTTCCTCTGGCTCCGGTCTGCTCCACATCCCCCGCCCCAACCGCCCTACTATCGGTGGCCGGGCCTTCAGCCTCTCAGCCCCGAGGCTCTGGAATTCTATCCCCCAGTGCCTTCGCCGCCTCCTCCCTTTCCTCCTTCAAGGCCGGTCTCAAGACCTTTCTCTTTGACCGTTCCTTCAGCTCCCCTCTCGACTCTCTACCCCCTCCTCGCTCCCTCCCTTCCTCCCCTCACCCTGACCATTTCCCCCCAATGCTCGGGTCCTGACCCAACTGTACAGCGCCTTGGGATGTCCTCCCGACATGAAAGGCGCTCAATAAATTGAATCTTGTTGTTGTTGTTGTCTATTTAAACTGTTGTAACATACCTCCTCTCCAGAATATGCATGATCCTACAAAGAATGCTAAGCACTCGCTCAGTAATATAATATTTTTCCATTGTCTAGTGCTCTAAAGCGTATTCAAGCCACTATCTGGATACTTTTGAGGCTCATCACATGGCAGTGGATGCTGTGAGGTGGAATCCGTTTCATCCACAGATTTTCATTTCGTGCAGCTCAGATTGGACAGTGAAGATATGGGATCATAATATAAAGTAAGTAAAATAAAAAAAAGTGTCCTCAATACTGACTCACTGTGGGGTAAGTCAGAAGGTTGTGCATTCAAGACCCATATCGGGATTTGACTCACATTATTGAAGCTGACACTGCAATGCAGTCCTGGAGGGTGTTGCATTGTCAGAGGTGCCGTCCTTCAGATAAGACATTCACGCAGGTTCCTGTCTGTTTAGGTGAACGTTAAAGATCCCTATTCAAAAAGACAAGGGAGTTTCTCCCGAGGTCCAAGCCGACAATTCCCCAAATGAAATTGGTCACTCACTGCATGGCTGTTTGTGGGACATTGCTGGTCGCAATTAGCTGCCACGTTTACCTGCAAATACACATTCACTCCAGAGTAAAATCTTTAGAAGCACTTTGGTATGTCCTCCTGACATCAAAGGCGCTATGCAAAATGCAAGGATTATTATTATATTGTCACAGAAATATCATCCCAATGATTTAATGCAGACCCACTGCTGGGGGTGGTAAATTAATGAAGGAGGTAAATCTGCTGGAGCTGATGTCTACTGCAGGTGGTACATCTATTGAAGATAGTAAATCTGTTGGAGATGGTATATCCACAGCATATGGTCCATAATCAGAAATATTTTGAGCAGTTTGTTGTAAGAACTGAACCTACTCAAAATATCCCAAAGTTAAACTGTGGAGTTGTGAATAATACCCATTATGTATATTCTTCTTTGAGGACTCCATTGTTCATCTTTGATCTTCATTCGGCTGTTGGAGATGTTGCCTGGGCCCCATACTCTTCTACTGTTTTTGCTGCAGTTACATCCGATGGCAAGGTAAAAAAATACCACTGACCAGGGCATTGGTTGCAGCTTGTGAATACCGCACCATACTTGTTTCCTTCTGTGTAAATTTTCTATTCGTAATACCTTCAATTTTATCAACACCTTAAGTTAGAACGATTATGGCTCAAATTGTTTTTAAAAGAAATGGAGTTTTACTTTTAAAATTGTTAGAGTTTCTTCCAGCGTTTTTGGCAAACAATCTGGATAAGAATTTGTTCATTCATCATGGCTGTTTGAAGGACATTGCTGTGCACCAACTAGCTGCCATTTTAGCGTACAAAATAGTCACTGCAATTTATAAAATATCCTGTGAAACGCTTGAGTCTCGATAACGTGATCAGGCACTCTACCAAATGTTATTAACAACAACACCTTGTATTTATAATAATATACACGTAATGGTTGGTTGGTTTATTCGTGCAGCATTAAACCTAGGTGGATGTTAAAAGATCCCATGGCACTGCTCAGATAGAGAAGAAGGTTTCTCTCTCCCGGTGTCCTGGCCGACTCATCCCCCAAATAAAATTGGTCATTCACGGCTGTTTGTTGGACGTGGAGTCCTGTAGCTCAGTGGTTAGAGCACTCGCCTTGTAAGCAGAACAACTGGATTCAAATCCAGGCAGGACGAAACCTTGGGCCTTACTCCACACGCCTAATAATAATCCCTCCAAAATAAAACAATGATAAATTGGTCATTTTCAATCCACGACTGTTTGTGGATACAGCTGTGTGCAATTGGTTTTGCACACAAATATACGTCTCAAAGCGCTTCACAGAATAGACTGTAAAGTGAATTAGCCATATATTTGTGGGCGAAACGCCCATAAATATAGCGCCCGTTATGCAGGGTGGCAGATCAGTATGCTTGACAGTGGCAGAGCATGATGTCGAACTGGGGGGAGGGGGAAGGGGATCATAGGCACGGGCGAAGTGGAAGGTCTTCAGTCACGATCTGAAGATGGGAAAGGAGGGGGTAAGATGGAGGGTTTGATGAGAGTGTTCCAGAATTTCGAGGCGTAGTGGCGAGTACACCCACCGATGGTATAACGGAGGGTACGAGGGAGAAGCAAGAGGCTGGAGTCAGTCGAACGGCAGCAACAGGTAGTAGGCTTGGGGAGTAAGCAGATTGGAGAGGTATAGCAGTGCCAAAGCATGAAGTGATTTGAAGCCAAATGTGAGGATCTTGAAATCAATCTGTTCGATGATAGAGAGTCAGTGGAGCCTGGCAAGAACTGGTGTGATCAGGGTGCAGAGATTAATGGGGGTATGCACATGGGGAAGTTGTGGATTAACTGGATTTTGTGATTAGTGGAGCTTGGGAGACTGGCGAAGAGGTCATTTGAGTAGTTGAGGTAGGAGGTGATGAAGGCATGGACGAGGGTTTCTGGACCATTATTATGAAGTCATGTATGATGCAAAAATGTTGTGTTTCCAAGAATTGTTGTGGTAAGTAACACACGTTTAAACTAGAGGAGTCCTAAATCACAATTCCAGCTTTTGAAGCGAGGGAATATACACATAATTGTATTTGCTTGCGATGTTGCCCTAAATTCATGATGGTGTGTATATTTTTGTGGCTAATTGGTTGTAAACTACTTTGTCAACAAGGTTCAGTTTTCTAATGTCTATTTGGTAGACAACCACTCATGAAAGCGCTATATAAATGCAAGTTGTTTAAATGCAATTCTTAACACCAAAGCACCATGGGTCATCCCCCCAACATGAAAAGCGCTATACAAATGTAATGTTGTTGTTAAACATTACATTTCAATATTTCTCTTGGTATATTCATTTCCTCAGGTTCCAATGCATAAAAACGGAATGAAGGTACATCTTGTGTCAGACAGATTCAGTTGGTTGCACTCTCACTTCTGAGTCTAATAGTTGTGGGTTCAAGCCCTGTGCTGGGACTTGGAGCTCATATTGTGTAGGCTGACACTCCAATTCAGTACTGAGCTTATGATTGCTTTCCACTCAGAAAACATTTACCCTGTTTAATTGCACAAGTATGGACTCATAAATGGAGAGGTTCATATTACTTTATGTAGACTTCCTACAGGCAATCTTTGTGACTCACTAACTGCACAATGTAAAGGTCCAACTGAATTCATTTGGTTAAACAATATTCCAACACAGTGACTTTAGTATTAATAGCAATAAAGTTTATTTTTTTAAAAAGAACAAGATCTAGATGTGAACCAAAGCTATAACTAGTTGACTAACTGAGATCTAGAAGTCGAAACAGAAGTTGTCACAGTATCAGCACAAAACCAATCTATTACTATTCCTTATTATGAAAATAAGACCTTAAAGAGAAACATTGATCGAAAATGCCAAATACGTCATCAAGCACCAGAAGCAGTAGACCACATATGGTCATCATGTTCAGCCCTAGCACACTCAGAGAATCTGATTCTACATAACAATGTAGCTAAATATATTCACTGGACAATTTGTAAACACTTTGATGTTGATGTAAAGACTAACTGGTGTGAACATAACCAGCAAAAGTGACTTCGAAAAATAACATTACAATAATCTGGAGATCACAAGTACATACAGATAGAACAGTAATCTGCAACTAACCAGATATTATCCTAAAGAACCAAATAGATTGTACATGTAGAATTGTTGATCTGGCTATCCCAAGTGATTACAACGTAAGAAATAAGGAACTAGGGAAGGAAATATATTGATCTACAAATTGAATGTGAACGGATGTGGCAGTATAAAATAAACATAGTCTCTATAATCATTGCTGCAACTGGAACTGTTAATAAGACTGTTTAGAAATGGCTTGACAAAATATCTGGTGAACAAAATATCAACCTCCTTCAAAAAGTAGCTATTTTAGCAAATTCAAACCTACTAAGAAAAGTAACATCCATTCATATGTAACGGGGCAGTGTTATTGGTCTAGCTGACCCATCACTGAAAACCACTTAGAAATTACCTCCATAGAGTGATGATTTAAGCTGTAATAACATCATAATAAAAATAATCCTTACAATTTATATAGCACCTTTCATGTTGGGAGAATGGATCAAAGCACTTCACAGGATAAACTGTAAAGTGTAATGAATGTACTTTGTAAGTAAATTCGTCAGTCATTCAGCACACAGCAGCGTCCCACAAAGAGCCATGAAGTGTATGACCAATTGAACAATGTATCCCTCAAAAGCAAAATGAGAACAAAATGAATATGACTCAGGTTAGAAGAGCGAAGCAAAGGGATGGAACAAAGTGCAAATAAAATTTAGTTATCGTGCACCTTATAGACTTATTTGAAATAAATAGTGTTCCCAAAGCCCAAAGGATATAAAGATTATTACTTACCCGGGTGACAAAGCTCCATTCTCAAACACTTTCTCCAAGGATAATTAATAGAGTCTAAAACCCAATTGCCTGAGAATAAATTTAGAAATCATCTGTAATCATGATATCAGTAATTTAGTACCACAACAATGGCATCTACCACATACTGTTCTATAACTCAAGTAAACCTTGTCATTCGTCCTTATAATGGGATTTCTCGGAGAAGTACATTTGCTAACTTCCCATTCATTTATCTTGAGTGGGGAGGGGAGAGGGGAGGTAAGCGGGGTCTCCTTGGAGCTGAACTGTTTCCAAGGTGACATGTTTCGCAATGTCAGAATCGAGCCAACCCTCTGTTGCAGTCTTAGTAATGGTCTGGTCCTGAGCCTGGGATGGGGTGCAGTATTCCAGGGCACTGCTGCTGATAGCACAGCCAGCCTGACTCATCGTCAGAACTTGGAAGGGCAGGACAGACACTGGAGTAGGGACTTTTCCCATTCCGCTCCTGTTAACCCTGCAAGCCAAAGCCTTAACTGGTAGTGGTGGTCCTAGCTGGACAAGTAACAAGAAAGCTTGCTAGACTGTACTTTCAATGGCAAGCTATACTTTTTTAGTTGGATAGACTCCAGCAGTACCCTAACGCACACTATGGGGTCCCCAAGCCTTGGCTCTTACCAACCTATGCGGAATACTCTTCTGAATTAGGTAAGCAGGGTATCTCCCTTAAAGGAGAGAGTGCACATTCCATTACAATAAATATCTCTGGAATTTCCATGTGTAGGTGGGATGCATTGACTTCTCAGTTTGATTTGGATACTCTTAAGCATGGTGATGAGTTCCCGCATGTGTCGGGGCCCGGCTGGCCCCACAAAAAATTGCTAGCATATTGTAAACAGCACTTATTAGAACCTTTAAGGGCATCAGTCAGAACCTAGATACATTACAGTAGATTTTTCAACTATTAACAACAAATGACATATGTTGACAAGTGACATAAATAGCCTGTCTCAGTTGGTAGCATTCTCGAGTCTGAATCAGAAGTTGTGAGTTCAAGCCGCATAGCGGGACTTCATTTTCTAGGCTGACACTCCAGTGCAGTTCAGGGAAACACTCCCTTGTTGAATTTGGCATCCTGTGGGTAGGATGTTATATTTAGGTACCATCTGACTGTTCAGGTGGATGTTAAAGAACCCATGCCACTATTCGAAAAGAGGGGGGAATTTCTCCCAATGTCCTGGTCAACAATCCCCCAAATAAAATTGGTCATTCACTTCAAGCCTGTTTATGAGACACTGCACAGATTGGCTGTTACATTTGCCTTTGAATACCCAATCATTACACTTTACAGTAAAGCATTTGTGAAGCATTTTGAGATATTGCAATAATATTATAAGACTATTAAATGCAGGGATTATTATTATGTTATGCTGATGTATAAAGTGACCTTGCAGTTTCTCTTAATACTGATTAGTCTCTCATATTAAGTAGTCTGATGAAGCTTTCCTGCAGTGGTTTGGAAATTCTTGTTGGAAACTCTGCTACTACCCCCTGTAATGAGGTTTATTTGCTTTCGCTGAGTTAGAAAATTGCAAGGTGGTCAAACCATCTGGCACCTTGCAAAATATGTTCAATTAATATGAGATATCTTGACAGCTTTCTACAATATAAAATACAAAGCAATAAAATAGAGTTCAAAAATATTATATTCCTGAACACCAAATCCAAAGTAATTTGAAGTAGGGATTTAAGAAGGTTTTGAAAGCAGAAAGGAAGGGTGTGAAACAGGGGAATATTGGGAAGGCGTTCCAGAGATTGGGCTTAGTGAGTGAAAGTTTGATTGCTGATGTACAGGATGGAGAGAGGCAAAGATCATGCAGCAGGCCTGAATGAAGCAATCATTTTCATTGGTTGTTAATTATGTAATTAGCAGCTCTGTGTGTATGTTACACTTGGTTTACAGCTCGAGCGTATTTGTCCCCGACAACTGTTTTTACTGACTTTCTCTACGAACACATTTCTGGATTGGGAGCTTTCCAACTTGTGTCTTTAATGATGAACTGATTAATATTTCTGTGTTGTCGTGGGAAGTGCAAATGATGTACTTGATTCTGTAATTGAAAGTACTTTGCAATATGATCAGATTTAGTATATGCATTATATAAATTGGACTTGACTGACCTTAAAGGACAAATGGAAACTGCTACTATTTTTTTTCTTGGCATTTAAGCGAGCAATACGTGCACTGTATTTAAAATGTGTATTTTTTTTTCTCTCTTATGCATCAAGAATACTAAATGTTATCTTAATTGCAGAGACAAACGTACCAGCCTTGACAAATGTACAGTATCTTCTTCTGGCACAATAGAATAATCCTTACAAAAACTAACAGAAACATTGATAATGTGGAGTGCTATAGCTTAATTGTTTGAGCACTCACCTCTCAAGCGAGTGGACCTGGGTTTGATTCCCAGGCAGGGCGAAACGTTGGGCAAGTTTGCTTGTTCCACACACCTCTGTTTGCCTAGCAGGAAGTAGGAACATTGTTGTTAGTCAATTAGCAGGTCGCTTTTATGGGGTAAGAATCCCTTAGAAATGACAATAATAATTTGGTCAATCAATCCACGACTGTAGGACACTGCTGTGCTCAATTGGCTGCTGTGTTTCGCCAAATATAGTCAATTCACTTTACAATATTCTGTGAAGTGCTTTGAGTCATCTCAAAGACGTGATAAGGCACTATATCAAATGCACGGATTATTATTATTGTAATATAAAGTGTGGAGAACGAGGTGATCTCAGCATCTTCACATCTGTATTCTGTCATCCATTGGTACATCCTTTGGATGAGATGTTAACCTGAATCCCATCTACCTGTTCATAACATAACATGTAGGAGCAGGAGTAGGCCATTCAGCCCTTCGAGCCTGCCCCGCCATTCAATCATGGCTGATCTTCTAATCTAACTCCAGCTAATAACCTGACCCTGCCTTATCCCCATATCCCTTAATCCTTTTTGCAATAAGAAATCTATCTATCTCAGTCTTGAAGTCTCAAAGTGGATGTTAAAGACCCCAGTGCACTCTTCGAAAAGAGAAGGAAGTTTCTCCTGGTATCCGGGCCAACAGTCTCCCAGATACAAAAATGGTCATTCATTTCATGGAGTTTGTGGGATAATGCTGTTCAAAACCTGGCATCCACATTCACCTATAAAATATAGGCACTGTTCAGAAAATCACTGTGAAGTGATTTATAATAATAAGAAGAAAATCTTTGCATTTGATATAGCGATTTTCACATCAGGAAGACGTCTCTAAGCATTTTACAGGATTTACTGTAAAGTGCAGTGATCGTATTTTTTAGGTGAATATGGCAGCCAATTTGCACTCAGTAATGTCCTATAAACCACCGTAAAGTAAATAACCATTGTTAACCTGGGATTGTTACCAGGATAGCAGAGAAACTCCCTTTCCATTTCAAATAGTGCCATGGGATCTTTAATGTCCACCTAAAGAGGTAGAAGAAACCTCAGCTTAACATCTCAGCACCTTAGCACCTTCTTGATTCCAGGACCACTGCTGTTCTGACCGATAACCTGTTGGACGTCAAGTCCTAGATGAGCTCTAACATTCTCCATTTGATTGTTCACAAGACAGAGGATTTCTTCCTTGGTTCCTTCCATGCCTTCTTGCATTAACCTGTAACCGGGCCCTGACACCTGACTTTTCAGCACTTTGGGACGTCCTCCTGACATGAAATTGTAATTTTGTTGTTGTTGTATGGAGGCACACTCCACCTCACGGAGCCAGTGTGGAACCTTTAAACCCCACACCTGTGCTGTGTGTCTAGCTCAGCTTTCCCCCACTTCCATAATATTGCCTACCTCTGCCACTATTAATAATACTACTACTAGTATGTGGAGTCCTGCAGCTCAATGGTTAGAGCACTCGCCTTGCAAGCGAGACAGCTGGGTTCAATTCCAGGCAGAGGGCGAAACCTTGGGCAAGTTTCCTTACTCCACACGCCTAATAATAATCCCTCCAAAAAACAAAAAAACAATAATAAATTGGTCATTTTCAGTCCATGACTGTTTGTGGGACACTGCTGTGCACAATTGGCTGCCGCGTTTCACCCACAGATATACAGTCAATTCACTTTACAGTCTATTCTGTGAAGAGCTTTGAGATGTTGAGAAGACGTGAAAAGCGCTATATCAAATGCAAGGATTATTATTTATTATTATAACTAATAATAATGCCTGCCCACTGAGACCCTAATCCATGCATTTATTACATCCAGGCTTGACTATGCTAATGGTCTGCTCACTGGACTACCTGACTCTCCCCTACACAAGTTGCAAATTATCCAGAACTCTGCAGCTCATGTCCTTTACCACACAAGGTCCACAAGCCTATTATCCAAATCCTCATCTGGCTCCTTAGGCTCCTCATCTCCCAGTGGATCAAGATTAAGATCCTCATACTCACTTTCAAATCCCTCACGGTCTTGTCACACCCTACCTTTGCGACCTCAACCGGCCCCACTCCCTGCACTCAGTGGGCACTGGCCTGCTCCAGTCCCTTATTTTCCTCCCACCCAACTGGCATTCAGGATTTCAACTTATCTGCCCCATCTCTCTGGAACTCAATTCCTAGGTCCCTCAGATTTGCGCTCACCCTCCCTCACCTCTTTCAAGGTCTGATTCCAGAATTTCCTCTTTGACCGTGCCTTTAGTCATACTTTCCCACCCCACCTCCTCCCAACTTCAACTTGGGTGCCAAGCCAGGACTGTCAAGTGCTTTGCCACGTCCTCCCAACACGATAGGTGCTAAATAAATATAAATTTGTATTTTGTATTTTCCACAGCTTTGCACAGTGCAATGTATTGGGAAAAAGAAAAAAAAAATCTTGTTAGCTAAAACTAGGTAGAATATCAGGCCTGTAGGGAGATAAAATGACAACTGACATAGAAGAGAAACCAAAAGTAAAGAAAAATGGAGATAAATAACTGAATGAGTTTTGTTTTGTATGTGTGTGTTCCAATGGTCTTTGACACAATGTGATTATGTTTGAATTCTCCATGTGATAAGTTCCTGATCTTGGATGTGTTACGTGGACAGATGCCAAATGGAAAGGCCTTAAATTTCCCACAACGAGAAAGATTGAACAAACTGTACAGCTTTAATGTAAAGAACCTTAAGTCTTGATAATAGGGAAGCCAGTAATGCTTTACAGGGCACACACCTCAATACATCATAACTTTTCTTACAAAATATACAGTCACTACACTTCACAATATTTCCTGAGACATCCACCTGACATGAAAAGCGCTATATTAAAAGCAAGTATTATTATTATAAGATAATTTACATGTACATGTATTTAATGCCATAAGTGAATACCAACATCTATGCTGATCTCTCAATCTGTTTTCCCTTTGCCAGGTTCACATGTTTGACCTGAATATTAACAAATATGAACCAGTCTGTGTTCAAGTCGTCGTGTCCAGGAAGAAAAATAAACTGACACATGTTCAGTTCAACCCTGTCTACCCAATTATAGTAGTAGGAGATGATCGGGGTTGTGTGATGTGCATGAAGCTGTCTCCAAACCTCCGCAGACAACCCAAGGTAAGATGTTCAGTTGCAAATTAAATGTGCACTAATGTACAGTATGTTCCTCTGGTTTCCTAAGGGACTGCCTGACAACTCTTCTTTCGCTGACATTATCCCAATCATAGAATCATAGAATTATGCAGCACAGAAGGAGTCCATTCAGCCCATCGTGTCTGTGCCAGCTCTTTGAAAAGAGCTATCCAATTCAATCCCACTCCCCTGCTTTATCCCCATAGCTCTGCAAACTTGTCCTCCCCAAATGATTATCTACTTCTCTCATAAAAGCTGTTAACGAATCGGCTTCCACCACCCTTTCAGGCAATGCTTTCTAGATCCGAACAACTCGCTGTATGAAAATATTTCTCCTCCTCTCCCCTCTGTTTCTTTTAACAACTATTTTAAATCGGTGTCCTTGGGTTACCAATGGAAATAATTTCTGGTAATCCCGAGTTACTGACCCACTCACCAGTAGAAATAATCCCAAATAAACTATTTTTAAAAACAAAACAATTACCATTTAAAATATTTCAGAAATGGCCTCTCCAGGCTAAATTGCAAAATACGAGCCTGGTGGTTTGAAAGAACTGTTCCTGGGTTTTTGATTTATTTGCTGACTTGTAACGTGGCTAAATGCACTTTTCATTCTATATTCTTCAAATACTGTAGCCTTAAAAGTAAGCCTAGAAGGCAAGAAGTATACCTTAAGATCTTTTTATTGATGCTGAAGTAACATCAAGGTGGTGCCTACATTTGTGATATCTTTACTTCTCACTTGTTGACACCAAGTATTTTTACCCACTGCCAGTTTCAAACGTCTTTTACAGTGCACATTGTTTAGGAAATTATCCATATTATTGGTTATTTGTCTACTACATTCTACTCTTGAATACCATATTGTCCAGTGTCAGGCATTTTTAGTGTTAGATGTCCCATGTCATACTCAAGCCAGGACGACCTGCTGACACTGGGAGATGATTTTGAAGGACTTCATCACGATGTGAGGAAACTTGACGTGAGTTGGTTGAGTCACCCTTGGCACAAACCCACGTCGGTGAGCAAACCAAATATAAGTTTAATAGTTGCGTTTGCTATAACATTAAAACATCTCATTGTGCACTGACTATTTGTTAGGCAAACACAGCAACACATTTCAACACAGCAAGGTCCCATAAATGAAGAGACTGACCAATTTATTTGGAGGATTGTTTGCAAGGACATTGGAAGAACAACAACAAATTACATTTATACAGCACCTTTCACGTCAGGAGGATGTCCCAAGGCGCTAGACAGTTAGGGATCCGCACCAAGCTGGTGGTTGGGATCAGGAAGGTGGAGGGCGGGGAGGGTAGGAGACGAGGGTGAGTGAAGGCACTCTCAAAGAGAAACTTGTTTCGCCTTTTGAATAGTGTCACGGGATGTGTAAAAGCCAGCTAATAATTATGATTATTTAGCGAAGTTTCTATTATTCTTATTGACTCCATTGATTCAATAGCATGTACCTCTTAAAATTAGAATTAGAATGGAAAAAAATATAGTTCTACCTTACCTACATTGTAATGGTGTTGAGATGCATTATAAATATTTGTGCCTATTTAAAAAAAACTCCAAAAAGTATATGTTGAAGCCCTTCTTCCAGAAGGATTATTTTTCAAAATTCCCTCTCAGGTCAAAAGTCAGGAAGTGATGTTATCAGAGTCACTGGTGAAACACTGAGATAGACAGACATACAAACAGAAAAAACAGATGAATAGGGAGAGGAGTGGGAAGGATCACTGAAACAGTTAGATTAAGTTAGAGGAAACTGAGTAATCCAATCAAAGGAATAAGAAACCACTGAGTCTCAGATACCCCTAAATAAACCTATTATTTACTCTGTAAAACTCTGTATCTCCGCCTCCCTCTCTCCCCTTTCTGTGCTTGACCATTCACACTGATGACATAACCAGCTTGATTTATTTTCATGAGCATTGACTCCAGTATTTCTAAGTCTAAATCTTAACTAAACATCACCAACTTTATAAAAATTCTAAAATTAAATATTTTGAACCAAACATAATTCAGCTGATTATATATGCTTAAGCGTTTTTTTCACACCGTCCATTCTACTTTAGATTCCTGATATGTGGCCATATAATACTGAGACATCTGCCACCCCCGTTTCTCAGCCTGACTTGGTTTTAATGTGCCGTTATTTCTTTATACTCGGCCTGCTCATGCCTTATATCATTGGAATCTAAAATGAGATATATATATATATAACATTAAACTATAAATTACAAGTCGGCTCATTTTATCCCCAGAATACCCAAGCTACCATCTTCACATCAAAGCATCAAACTGCTTTTTGATGAGCCCTGGCCATAAAAAGTCTTGTCAGTAACTATCAGATTGACCTGCAGGAGCTCCACTCCAACTTTTGCGGAAATGGATCGTGTAGGAATAGAATTTCATGACACACATTAGTTATTGGCAGTCACTGCTATTTGCAACTACTTGGTACGAGTATCTCAATCAAACCCCTACTGTTCCCTTGCAACCTATTCACTACCACCCCCTCAAAGCCTTGGGAGGCTCAGTAACATCTGCTCTTTGTTCCAGTTCCATTTTTCATTCATTTGTGCTAATTTGCAGTCTGGTCTTGTCACTCACCTTACTAGTTAAATCTGGAACTCTCTTCCTCTCAAGGCTGTGAATGCTGGATCCATTCAAATTTTCAAGACTGAGGTGTATAGATTTTTGTTAAGTAAGGGATATGGGGCAAAGGCGGGTAATTGGAGTTGAGGTGCACATCAACCATGATCTAATAAAATAGCGGAACTGGTTTGAAGATCTGAATTGCTATTTACATCCTCTCTCATCTGCCCTATTTACAATTCTGGGTAAATGGCATTTGGTACTAAACTATATAGACCAGGAAGGAAGGACTAAGTTTCTATCCCTAATCTGTTCTGAATTAACTGACAGGGATGCAATGCTATAATTTGCTTCCAGATCCCTAAGCAAAGTAAGAGGGGTGGGGAGGAAATCAACTCTGTTTAATGTTCCAGAGACATCTAATTTGAACCATGTTTATGCACAAGGAGTGCATCAGATTTGTGGATCATATTGGGTTGAATTAAAATGTATTGTATATCCCAAAACTAAAATAAGTCATTTACAGTTCAATCCACAGTCTGTGGAAATTGATCTGATCTCATTAAGCACTTTTGCAAGTGTCCTCAGTGACCTCAGGCAAAGAAAAACATGATACTGAGCTCCACTCCTAATCAACATCCACAGAACCGTGCTGTTCAATGTTGAACAATGACAGGATAGCAACTGACTGTGATGTTCTCTACAGTCAATCGCCTGCTGACACTTACTGTCTGTTCTCACATTTGAAGAATGGCCAGTCCAGCTAGGTACTGGAGAGCTGCCAGTGTCTGTGGAACTGTAACGCAGTGTGAGTCACCACCTTCTGGACAGGAGGAGAGAAAAGTGGGGAGGGAACACTAAAACAGCCAGAGGAATTGAGCAATCCAATTAAAGGAATAACAAACCACCAAGGCTTAGATTTTTTCCCCAATACAAACCTGCTCCAAAAGGATATTGACTCAATAGGTAAATAAGTCTGTCTCAGAACATTTTGCTTCTATACACAGGTTTTCAAATAAAATAACTACAAATTTTGAATTCTGTGCATCGTATTGTCAATAAAAGCAAATTGATTTTCGTTAGAAAAATGCACGGTAATACAAGGGGATGAAAATAATAATAATAATCTTTGTATGTCGTCGAGATGTTTAAAAACACTTAATGCATAATTTCATAGCAGATTAATGTGATTGAATCTTTTATGAAACATTGCATGTTTCCATCCATATCCTACACTGGTTATGTAACTAAACACCCTGCTCCTCGTCTGTCCAATTTTGCCATAATGGTTTGGTCCAACATCTGCTTTCAAACTGCTTTCAGCTGTCAACTTGGATATCGCTAAACTGACAAAATATGTTTCCCCCTGAGCCAGAGTTTGAGAGTTGGTTCACAGGATACAGATCGAGTGAAGTAATTATCCTGTTTTTAACTGCGTTTAAACACCATTCTCCATGATGGGGAGTAGACAAAATATACAGTCAATTCACTTTAGAGTATATTTTGTGAAGTGCTTTGAGATGTCTCAATAACGTGATAAGGTGAAAATCAAATGCAAGGATTATTATTATAGAAATGAAGTGAAGCAATCTTTGAGTCCAACTGTTATGCTGAGACTTACAGGGAATGATGGTGGTCACGTTGAATTTGTGTGAACCATTGCACTTTTCACCCCGTGAAATCTTATAAAATATGAAAAAATACACAATCTCAGTCGGAGATGGTGTTTTGCTTTTAGCCTCTTTTGGGGATTTTTCTCGGTTGAGAAATGGCTCAACAGTAAAACTCCAGCTGCTATTGTTTGGTATAATGTAACCATAGAGACATTAGAAGAATTTGTTTGCTCCAAAAAGCAGTGGATATCTGGAAAAGACAGATTACCAACTAAAGCAGCCAGCAATGTCTTGTATTGTGCTGGACAGTGTCAGGACATAAGGTTTCCAAATCCAATCCTGTATTACAGCCTTGAATAGTACAGAAGCAGTAGAGAGTCTCTACAACAGTAAAATATTTTCTAAAAATTGTAACAGGGAAAGTGCTATTCTGTATTAGGCGATTAATTTGGCATTGTGCTATTTACGTTTAAATATATGCAGAATTAATCACAGGTACCCATAATTATCTAATTGACATCTTAACTTTTTAATATGCTGTTATGCATACGAGTGAAGGCACTTGGAATTCTCTTCATACACGTGGTTTGCACAACAATAATAACACAGCTTGCATTTATGTAGCGCCCTTCACCCGGGGTAGTGTCAGTGGCGGAGTCTGACATGGCAACCCGCAATTCAAAGCATCCTACAACAGTTTGATTTGTGTCACAAGTCAGACTGTATTCCTCATTCAGAGGCTACCTAAAACATCTGTGAAATGATTGT